ACGCTTCTGTCCGTATTTTTGTACGTAAATAAATTTTTACAGCACGACGTAACAATTGCCACTTTGTTAATTGCTTTGGAAGCAGATGCTGAAATAATTGGCGATGCCGACCCACAGTATGGTGCGAGCGTAACTTTCGAACTATACCGTATCCAAAATGAGCCCTACATTAAAGTATGCACTTTTCTTGCACTTTGATATAAGTGCCGCGATGAAAATTTGTTATGACTTCATCGTTTTTACGTCTGTTTCTGTGTATACTGGTGTTTGTTTTAGCAATCAAATTTTCGACATTAGAGTGACGAAAACCAGAAAGCTAATTTTTTAAGGTCTATGCCTCCGAACTTGTACAAAAGCAACAACCTAAAATAAACTTTCAAGTCATTCTGCATCTTGATGTTATGTCTTCGACTCAAATCTTTTTTCAGCTTAATAACCAAAAAAATCACGGTCTTGGGATTTTAAAAACAATATTCCTGATTTACTTAGGAAACGGAAATATAACAAAATGTTTCAATTCACCTTATATCTTAACCTACGATCTCGAGCCCAAATTCGGCCTAATTTTGTAGCCGACAGCATACGGAGTTGTGAGACCAAACTTTTTAAACCTTGTTTCTCTCACTGCGATTGACCTTTCTCTCGACTGCCTTAACATCATCCTTTGTGTTTAACCATACAACATTACATTAGTGGCCAGAAAATATGCTAACCAGTGACCTCATGCCCAGGTTCTGACTAATTTTTCAGTTTCTAAATGGAGCGATCTACAAACTCAAAACTTTTGAGCCCAGTTCATAGTTCAATCTTAAAGCTTCCTATGTCCTGTTCCATAGCTTGTAATATCACTTTCAAACACGAATCATCTTTTTCGTTGGTAAATGTGTAAAAAAAGTATATCATGAGAGCAAAGTTCTGCATGTTTTGCCGTATTCATTCACTGTGGGCTTGTAACAGCAAGTAACAAAAGTGCTGTTGATGCGCATCGCAATTTATTTTAGAAGTTCGTTTTTAAACACAGATATATCAAACTCAAAAACGAAGCAAACCATGAATCTGGAATTTTGGTACCTTCGAAATGATGAGTTACTAAGAGTTTATCTTGACGGACCTCGGCATGTATAACTTGTGTACCAAACGGGTACCCGCAACACTTTGTGACAAAAACGCAAAAAGGCGAATTTGTACGTGTTCGATTTGCATAAAACTTTTCAGTCAGAAAGAAATTTCTATCAACTGAAGCAGTCAAATTAGGTCGAGCAAGCATATATTTTACTCACTGAGATTTTGCCCAGTCTCAATAGCCCATTATGCGACTGATACGTGGATAATCAAATAAACTTTTAGAGCACTCAAGGCACTGTAACGCCGTTTGTCTACCTGTTCCCATTGTTTATTTGTTTGTTTGCTTACCAAACGACTGCAAACACACTTCTACGCATGATAGTTCAATTTGGCTAATTAAAAATATTATGTCTTTCTTTGTTTTTACTCTGCTAAAAATTTCAGTTGCTCTACTCGAATACTTATTCGGAAGAGCCGCAGTCAGTTACTCATTTCATTCCGGGCTGTCCATCGGCTAGTGTTTTCTGCCCGCTTGCAAGTTTCCTTGATAGCCGGAAGCATTTATTACCGTCCGATATCGAACAGGAGTGTGGCCTCGAGATAAGGCAAAGAAGGCAGAGTAGCGGAGGTGCCGGAATGTTTTGCTAGTTCTTCCTTTTTTGTTTTCTTTAGCAGTGTTGTACTTAAGAAGGAATAGGAATAGCTGTAATATTTCTCATTTTGTACCTATCAGGTATCGAAATCGTTCGATGGGAAGACGCGATAAACTCGGTGTAAGAAAAAAAACAACCATTTTAGCCATTTGCCGTCTGTCATTTTTGCAACATGAGCAAGTCTAGCTGTTTCTGCTCGAATCGGATTAGTTTCTACAGTACTTCATTGCAGATGAGCTGTGACTTGCTAATACCTACTATGCGTTGCGCCTTCGTATGTCGCATTATACTCCCACATAACAGGACTTGTTATGTTAATGCTGAAAAGTTTTGTAATTTGCCTATTCATTTTGTTCTTTCCCTTCTGCTAGCTCCACACCTAACCTTTAATTATGCGTCATTGCATATACGGAAATGCAAAAATACATGTTGAGGTGCCCCATGAGGTGTATGTGTGTGTGCGTGTGTGTGTTTGTGTGTGTGTATTTGGATGTGGGGGTATGTGTGCGTGCGCGTCCGTTCGGGTATTTCAACTCGGCAATTGCGTAAGTTTTCGACGCTGAAATTTCGTCAGTATGTCCACTGCCCATAGTGTGACTCCAGGAACGGTACCAACCTTCACGCACGTCTGAGTCCGGCGTACAATTACGTGTAAGTTTCGTCGGGGAAATTGCTCACTCAAGCCAGAAAAGCTGGAAAGCTGAAATTTCAAGATGATGCTTCTTGTTTATATACAACTTACAGTTTTCAAATTCAGCCCTGAAGAATGCGAGATTCTCACGTTTAGATATTTAAAAGTTTTGGCCGAAAAATTAATCGTTGAACAGCTAAATCACTTTCAATGTATGACCGCTCAAAAGAAAATATTCATTCTTTCTTACGCAAAATTTACGATGATTTACATTAATGAGCACATGCTAAATGTAAAACAACAACCACTCATGCAGTTAAAACCGCCTGACTGCTGTAAATTTCATGCATAAACGCATGATCGCACTGCACGCCTGGTACGTTCCAGCCTGGGTTCTTTTGTATTGTTTGCCCCAAATAAGTACAACTGCTCGTAGGCGCTACGGACTGATTCTTGAGTCTCATGCCACACTGGAATCAATGTGTGTTCATCCACTTCTTCCTTCGTGAATTGGTAGTGAGTTTATTCCGCACTAATTATAAGCTTACTATGGTGTAGAAGTGACAACGGACTAGGCAGTGCTGAAA